TTTGTGCTTTGTACATAAAAAGAGTAAGTTTTTTTTTACCTTCCAAGGACCAGCTTTTGCCCCCTTGGGGGTAATATCGCCCCCATTGAGAATTGGGAGTTCTAAGTTCATGCTTCAGAGTTTGAAAAGACTTCCAAGCACATGGATGTTCACAAGTGGTCACAGTGACATGCATGTACATTATGCATATGGATGCAAGTGAATTTTCTAGATAAAAGGTCTATATACAATTTTAACAATAATACTGATAGCAATAACACAGTGCTTTTACTGTGTGTCCGGATATTCTTCTCAGCACTTTATCTGGCTTACCTCCATTGTTCCTTGTATCAACCCTATAAAGCAAATACCATTATTATTCTCACTTTATAGATGAGAAACTGAATCTGGACAGAATGTACAATTTCCCCAAGGTTCCTCAGCCAGTCGATGGCAAAGCTGGGATTAAGACGTAAGCAGTCCAGCTCCAAAGTCTACACTTCTTTAAATTGTGGTAAGAACACTTAACGTGAGACCTACCCTCTTAAGTTTTTAAGTGCTCAATACAGTACTGTTACTGACAGGCACAATGTTGTAAAGAAGATCCCTAAAACTTAATTATCTAGCCAAGATATCTAGAAGAAGAGACTAGAGTGATAGTTGCCAGAGGCTGGGGGTGGGTGCAGAAGTCTACACTCTTAATCCATATGACACCATACTTCGATTCCACTTACACAAAATCCTTTTTCTCATTCTCTAATCATTTCCCCAGCATTATGTTGCCAAGTAAGTAGAGAAGGTAACATTATTTCTTCCAGAGTTTTACCAGAAACTCCTGGTCATTAGGGAAGCATCCACAAGCAGTCTTTACTGTGTCTGCACAGACATGTACAACATGTTCCAGACGGGTATTAAAGATGTGGGGGAAAGGTGAACCTCTAAAGAGCTCTTTCCAGGTCTACAGGTGGAGAATAGCAGAAGCGTGTATCTAGTCACATCACGGAACCAACTACTCCAGGCACAGAGACAGCACAGTGGCCGATGGGACACACACCGCAGGGCCATGCACACTGGCCACCCCGCTGCACAGCTCCTCTCAGGGCCACTCCTCCCAAGGTTTTTGTGAAAACACTCAGAAACAAAAGCAACTTCCATGGGTGGCTACACAGTAGAGGGACTTCCTTCATATCCTACTGACTGGTTCCTTACCATGTGAGTGATTGGTCCTACCATTTTCCTGGGACCTAAACAATATTCTAGCCCAAACTTATTTCCTATGGAGTTGAATTCTTTTTGTATTTTTGTAATTAAGATATAATTGACTTACATTTTATTAGTTTCAGGTACACAACATAAAGATTTGATACTTATAGATATTGTGAAATGATCACCACCAGGCTAGTTGTAACATCCATCACCCTCATTAGACTTTCATCTTATGATGGGAACTTTTAAGATCTACTCTCTAAGCAACTTCCAAATTTACAATACAGTGTTATTAACTACAGTCACCATACTATATATTACATCCCGTGATTTACTAATTTTATAACTGGAAGTTTGTACCTTTTGGCCACCTTCGAGCCCACAGGTAGAAGCTCAGATTATAAACTTTCTCTGGGCTTCCAGAACAGCAGCCCCAGACTGAGCTGGAGTCCAGGCCTGTTATTCACCAGAACATGTTCCACATTAATCTCCCTAGCTTGGGGTTTGTTTTTAAGGGTCCCCTTGCATCTATCTGCCTCTCCTTCCTCCTACCACTCTGCCACTACTCAGCCAAAGCCATGGAAACTAGCCTTTTGGAGACTGTTCTCTTTTACATATTTGGGATGTGTGGAAAAAAGACAAGGAGTCAGAAGACATGGATTTTGTCCCAGGCCAGCCAATAACTACAGTTTATCTTCAGAAAACTTAATCTATCTGAGCCTCTGTTCTCTCATAAGAAGTAAGAAGTGTTTGATCTCAGGGGCACCTGGGTGGCTCAGTCGGTTAAGCGTCCAACTTCGTCTCAGGTCATAATCTTGCAGTTCGTGGGTTCGAGCCCCGCGTCAGGCTCTGTGCTGAGAGTTTGGAACCTGGAGCCTGCTTCAGATTCTGTGTCTCCCTCTCTCTGCCCCTCTGCCACTGACACTCTCTCTTTCTCAAAAATAAATAAACATTAAAAAATTTTTTTTCTTTTTAAAAGAAGTGTTTGGTCTCAGATGCAACTCTAATCTCTCTTTCTGTTATAAATTCTAAACCTGAATGAATTATCAAGTATAAAAAAGGAGTTTTATGAACAACGGAAATGTGTCCCGTAAGACTGTCTGATCTATTAAGAAGATCAGCAGGGCAGGACCAAACTCTGAAAGTGCCATGAGCACTTAGTCACTACAGTTTCCCCAGTGTTTGGAATACAGAATGCAACAATACACACGTTTCAGAATTCATGAATTATTTGCAATTCAAGGGAGAGCACACATTTTACCTCCAGCTCTATCTCACTTGACTTCCAGACAATTCTACAAAGTGTGAACCCACAAAAGGACATCCCATTGGCCTGATCTTAGGGACTCCAGGCTGAAAATCAGCAATCCGCTTTTTTCTTTAGAAGAAAGCTGCCGTCTCTTTGATCATTAGATCAGAGCTACCAGTTTTAGCTTTGGCTCAAAGGATGGAACAGTGATCTCATTTTAACAACAGCAGATGAAAAATGATTGGATACTGAAGAAAAGTTCAAAGTGATGCCAAGAATAATTACAACAAACAGGTTAATGCTTGAAGGCACTGCTAACTGATCTAACTGAACACACAGCCAAAGCCTGGATGCCGTCTGTCACGGAGTTAAGAAGGCTCTGCAACAACGAAAACAATAGCTTGAGGACACAGAGCTTAAATACTCGGGTGCAGCATGCCGGGCAAGCTGGTTGTACCTGTGCAAGATAGCCGTGTTCGTTAGCATTGAAGTGCCAGTGAGGGGCCCGGAGGCCATTGCTTTTTATCCTCAGGGTCCCCAGAGTCATGTGTGATCTCTGACTGTTCAAGCTGCTGCCAAAAGCCTCTTCTTCGATGCTGAGATAGTCTTTGACATCGTTCCTATACCGGGCCCACTGGATTGCACCACCGGGGAATTCAAACACCTGAAGAGGCACGAGCAAACAGCCATCAATCAACACAGAGGCCATCTCCCAAGGAACACAAGGCCTCTGTGGTGTACAGAGTAAGAGGGAGGCAAAACAGAAAAGGCAGTGGTGGTGAGGCAGATCCTGGAGCCCCAGAAGGGAAGAGGAAGAATGGGTCTGCAAGACTTGGGGGATGACAGCAGTGGCTTCCAGGGCTGTCAGTCTAGTCCCCGCGAGACATGAAAAGAACACCTGTCTTGACGAGAGAATCGAAGCTTCGCATGTGTCTATCTGCAGTTCTCCCCTCCCGCCCGACATAGAGCTGTATCTACCACAAAAATTCTCTGCCTCGAGCCCATCAACCCAACTCCTATGCTTCTTGCTGCCCACCTCCCCTCGGCTAGACGGCCCCCCACTGGTTCCTTCCAATGAGGAGGGCACAAAGCTTAGGAAACTCTGTTTTGAAATCCCCTTTACAATAGAGGATTCTTTTTCCTAAATGTATGATTCATACCTTGGACTTAGGTAAATGGTTAAGAAACTGGAATTTTGGATCCACAGCCTTTTGCACTATAGGAGTTGTTTGCAGAGGCCGGGCTTCGAGTCCTAAATGAACTTCTGAATGTGGCTGAGAGTTCTGAGTATAAACCAAGGAAAGTATCAGCACTCCTACTGCGGTGGTGATGGTACAGGCCAAGAGACATACCAGGAAAATGTTCATCAATGACCACTGCCTCTTCTTTTCCTAAGAGAAATTATGAAGCCATTATTCTCTACTCTTGATGCATTAAAAGTATTGCCTCCTTTCCTAATTTGGTTTATTTTTTTCTTTTATTTAAAAAATGCATGTGTGGAATAAATATACTCAGCAAAATAATGCGTTATAAACACACACACACACACACACACACACACACACACGCACATCCCATATACCTTGCTGACACCAAATAAACAAGAAAAAAACTAAACATATGAAAACCTGAGGCACAATAAATTCCTAGGAAAGCAAGTAGCCAGTTAAGTTTGTATATCAAATGTATTCCAGCACAGCCAATTAGTCCCTATTTACCAGGTTCTTCACCTGAAAATTAAAAATGTTATAAAGACTATTTTCTGTGAACTTTTTAGTTCCAGAATGTACATATGCATTTACATGTACGGGTAATAAGCATGAGAAAAGTAACATACTAGTAAACAGGTCTGAGAAGTCTCAGCCTCTTTGTCCCTCCCTCCTTCATTTAAATAGCTTCATTAAACCCCTTCCTTCAGTGTATTACCAGTATGAGTTACTAACCCATCTACCAAGTCTGAGCACAATATTTCCATGCATTTCCATGTTACTACTTCCTGGTTTCACATCACAAATATATGCTAAAGCCAACAGTATCATTTCTGTGAGTTAAAATCCACATTACTGAAAGCTGTGAAGAGAACACATACCCTAACATTTGGATCAATTTGCCCTCACTCCTCTGACCACTACAATGGCATTCGTAGGTACCGATGGTCCCCTGTCCACTGTTCTCTGAATTCCTTCTTCTCTGAGCAGGCATATCTTTGATTACTAGCAACTCTGACATAGATGTGAGTACATCAACATTCTTAAATGATACACTTTACATAGCATAACCATGTATCAACATATCCAGTTTAACATTGTATCACGACATTATACTGCACCATAAACAACTCTTTATGGAGGCCTGGACTGTTACAGAGCTAATGCAGCTGTGAGCTAAGAGTTTATGAGAGAAAGCAAATCAAGAAATGCTCAGAGCAGGAGATGTAACCTTTCCAAAGAGGGTTACTTGAGGAAAGCTGGTCTAAAGAGGGATTCTTTCCTAAGGTCCACATAAAGGTTGGCGGTGAGCTAATCTCAGGATATAAATCTTCACTTTACCATTCTGAAGATGGTGTTCATCTTCCCCGCAGGCAAAGTATTCTGCATGGCATCTTCATGCACTTCAAATGCTGAGTTGTCCATTCACAGAAACAAGCAACCGATTCACTGAAAAAGAAAAAGGGGAAGAATGTAGCTCTAGCACATGGGGAGATCCCTGAGAGGTGAAGAATGGTAATTCTTAAAGAAGGGAGTCCTTATATACAGCTGAAAGGAAACGAAATAAGGAAGCTGTCTCTTAAACTATAATCTTGGTTTAAAAAAAAAAAAAAAAAAAAAAAAAAAAAAAAAAACCCTAGAGAGAATTGCCAAATTAGAGTCCAATAAAACACTTCCATTGGTCCTCAACTCTTTGCCCACTGATGACACATACACAGATAATGATAAATGACATTTATTTCCTTCTCTTGCTACGTGCCAGGCACTGTCCTAAGTGCTTCATACATACATTCTGCGATTTAGTTCTTATAGCAATTCTATCAGGTACCATGAGTCTTCCCATTTTGTGGATGAGGAAACTGAGGCATGGAAAGTGAGTGCAGTAACTGCCCAAAATCATATAGCTAATTTTAATGTCAGAGCAAAGCACCCTTGAAGATTTTTCATGACACTGGTTTTTGGCAGTTTCATGGTGGGTGCTTAGTCTAGTGCAATCTATTTCACCCAAATCAGTCCTGTCTCTAAATAGTGGGACTGATTTTTCCATGTGGTTTCTTGAAGAATTTTGTTACAGTTAAATCTTCATTTAAAATTCATTTGCATCATACTTCCTGGTGATGAGTGGTAGCCTGAATAATGCAAAAAACCACTCCTATAATCCACAAAGTAGTCCATCCTTCTTTCCTATCTTCCTATCTGTATTCTTTCAATAAACATGACTGCATGCCTACTATATTCCAGACTGTCTGCCACTCCTGTATAATGGCACGAGGCCTTGGAATAGCTCATAATCTAGCAGGAGAAATGGAAAGCAAACCATTACCAAAGACTGTGCTGTGTTATGCTAGAAGTATGCACAAGACTCTCCTGCAAGGAGAGAGAAGATAGTGATTGTGTCTGATATGGAACTCCTCTGAAGTCATAATTCTGAGCTGAGCCTTGGAGTCCCAACACGGCTTCAGCAGAAAGACACAGTTAATTTCATTCTATTCCATATTTCTAGCTTGTCTATAAGCAGCTCTGCAACATTCCATATCGTAAAAATGTAAACCCTCTCTGGGCCAGGCAGCTCAGGATCCAACAAGGATGAGGGTTGTCATTATGCTCAAGTGATGGAGAGTTGACCCTGTGGCCTTCCTATCACAGCTCATCAAATGTAAGATGCAGCCCTGCGTCATACTAATTTAGCCTCTTCCAGCCAAGACATGGAAACTGGCACTGATTTTGAAGCCATAAATTATTTAAAACAATTGTTTTAACTGTGGGGCCAGTAAGGTGATACCATCTTGTTTTCAGGGTACCATAAAACACAATGTTTTCTTGTTGGATTTTCCCTGTGCATTTGTTAGCTAGAATCCATTCCACACCTCAACATCTCTGAAAATGGGTTGTGTCTTGCAATGAGTGCTAAGACTCAGTGAAAGTTTGCCACTTTCCTTGGTCTTATCGACAAATGGTATACTACATGAAATCTTCAAAGCAAGTTTTACACGATTTTGTATTTTTCTGTTTTTCTTTCTTGGAAGTATGAAAACACAGTCCTCTGTCACCTCTGGGAGCTACACTTAGCATTTATTTAAATGGCAAGACAAGCAAATCATCCACCAAGCTATGTGAAAACTCACTTCAGCACTAAACCAGAAATGCTGCGGCCGGATGGGGTCCTTTTGATCTTTGCAGATAAGAAAACGGGGGGCCAGAGAGGCTAAGTATTTTTCCCAAAGTAACACAGTAAGTCACTGGCAGAGCCAAAACAAATGCCCAGCTCTCCCACTTTCAGCTGGAGATTTTCCTGTTTCTATTTGCTGCAAGGGAACATCATGCCTTTGATATATGTACACATAGTTCAAGGTGAATTGAAGGAAAACAGTGGAAAGCAGGAATAGTATCAAAATCATGCTAAGACATGTGAATGTTAACTGGGTGGTGCAGCCCAGAGACCCCTCAGTAGTGGGTATGCTAGCCATTCACACCACCCACAGAAGTGGGGTCATTTCTGCCAGACCAGAAATGCTTGGCAGCCCAGGAAGAAAGTAGGCAGAACTGCAAACTGAACCAGAGTCTGCAAATAGCAGCCAAATCACCAAGCAGTTCTACAAAGAGAAGAACATTAGTGACCCCACTTTTCCAACAGCCCATTTTTTGTAATACACCTAATCCCACGTGTAATAATCACTTGTAAACAAGTGCCATACTACTTATATGTGGTGGGCAAAGACAAACATGGGTCAATATCTCAAAACTGGAAATAACAATTAACAAAGACATGCCCCATACTTTTGTTTTGACTTCAAAATGATTAAGCTAGTGTGCCTCCAAACATAAACACCTGCAAATATCTCCTAAGGTTCACTTATGCTGTCAACTATAATACTTGCCCAATTCAAACATGACTAGGAAATGCAAACATTTTTATTCATCAGTGGCCAGGTTTGTACCCAAAAGATTTAACCATCTCGAGGGCACAGGCACTGAGCAGTCAGAACAGGAGTCGTTAGTTGCCATGATCACTAGATGAATGCGTGCTAGGTGAACATCAGCCCTGCCCATAGTTACAACCAGAGCACGAGTTTATAGAGGAATGGTGAAGAGTGCACATGCCGGAGCCAGACCACCAAGGTTTGGATCCTAACTCTGCACTTATTAGCTGTGTGACCTGGGGCAAGCCATTTAAACTTGCTGTGCCTCAAGTTCTTCAATCATACATTGGGGTTAGTAATGTTGCCTTCGTAAAAGCGTGAAAGGATTAAACGAGTTAATATACATAAAGTACTTAGCACAGTGCCTGCATACAGTACGTACCCAATTAATGTTCGTCTGGTTCCTTTTAATAAGTACAAGTAGACTCACTGTAATACCTATACTTTACCATAGCATAAGGACACTTGAGCTCATAAACCATCTATGAGCCCTTATAATAATTCAAATTACTACATTCTCACCTGTTACCCTGAACAATATATAAATTGTCCTTATTTTTAAAATTAGAGTAAAAAGACCTGCTTACATTAAGCTAGTAGAATTTTTTTTTTTAATTTTTTTTAGTGTTTATTTATTTTGAGACAGAGAGAGAGAGCAAGCGGGGCAGGGGCAGAGAGAGAAGGAGACACAGAATCTGCAGCAGGCTCCAGGCTCCGAGGTGTCAGCACAGAGCCCGATGCGGGGCTTGAACTCACAGAGCCGTGAGATCACGACCTGAGCCGAGGTCGGACGCCCAACCGACTGAGCCACCCAGGCACCCCAAGCTAGTAGAATTTTAACTAAAACCCAGGTTTTCTTACTGACATTCCAAGGAGCTTCCTATCTGGACCATATCTAAGTACTACAAAGCAGAAGCAATATAATCTTTTATATTCTTTTTTATATTTATATTCTCTTTTAACCCCTTCATCTTCTTCTAATCTACTTAATATTATTTAAACCATGATCACTTTAATTTCCAAACTGGGCAGTGCTGGGAAGAAGGCAGGAATCTTTAATATCTATCAGTAACCATCAGATATCTAACAAAAATCTGTTGTTTTTTTTTTTTTTTTTACTTTAAAAAAAATGTTTTTAATGTTTATTTCTTTTTGAGAGAGAGAGAGAGAGAGAGAGACAGAGCATGATGGGGGAGGGGCAGAGAGAGAGAGGGAGACACAGAATCTGAAACGGGCTCCAGGTTCTGAGCTGTCAGCACGAAGCCTGATGTGAGGCTCAAACTCTGAAGGCGAGATCATGACCTGAGCCGCAGTTGGACGCTTAACCGACTGAGCCACGCAGGCGCCCCACAAAAATCCATTTTTTAATGTAGGAAATAGAAAATCACCATTAAAATATCAAAGTAATAATTGCTGCAGGCAAGATCCCTCAATGGGTGCTAAAATTACTGGTTGAAAGGTTAAGCTGAAAACAGAATATTTGTATATTCCTAAAGTATCTCTCCTAAATACTCGATAATTACACAAAAGGGCAGATTGTGAGCTCAGCGTGGAGAATCCTGGGATGCACCATCCTGGCCAAGTGAATAAGGTTAGCATCATCTGTGATACATGCTGACATCATATACCCTTGGATATGATGCACCAAAAGGGCAGATTATCTCTGGTCTATGGTAGCCATCCTGGAAATGCATTACCCTCAGTCTAATCATGAGAAAACATATAACAAACCCAGAGTGACATCTTACATAATTACTGACAGTAATTACTGACTCTTCAAAAGTGGCAAGGTCATAAAAGGCAAGAGACTAAGGAAACATGACAACTAAATGGACTGGATCCTGGAACAGAAAAATGACATTATGGGGGAAAACCAGTGAAATCTGAATAAGGTCTATAAGTTCAGCTAATAGTATTGTGCCAGCTTTTGAAAGCTGTTCTATGGTTATGTAGATGTTAACCATTCAGCGAATATCTGCAATGCCAAGGTCTGAAGTGTATGACTATCTTAAAATAAAAAGGAAAAAAGAAGAGGAAAAAGGAAGGAAGGAGGGAGGGAGGGCAGGTGGAAGAGAAGAAAGGAGGAGGAGGGAGGGAAGGCAGGAAGGGAGAGGGAGAGAAAGAAAATCCTCAAAAATAACCATTACCTCTTTTCCTGGGCCCAGACTAGTTTATATTTCCCAACATCCTTAGCAGTTAGATGTAGCCATGTAACTGAGTTTTAGTCAATGACATATGAGCAGAAATTCTATTCCAAGCTAAGACAAAAAAAAACAAAAGAGAGTAAGCCCCCACCATGCCCCCTCTGCCTTTCACCAGCTGGATGCAGAGAGAGCCTGGGGATGGCAAAGCCACGAGAGGGAAGGAGCCTAAGCCCACAGTTCACTGTGTAGACAAAACCCACTTACCAACCAAGAACTCTCATTTCAAATTCTTGCATAAACAAATAATAAAGTTCTGTTCTATTTCACCAGTATACATCTGGGCAGTCTATTTGTTACCACAAACTAAAACAAACATATTTATACC